GGGGGGGGGGAGGATGGAGACCTCATTAAGCCCAATGTGTTGGTGCCTGTGTGATGTTGGGTTTCAGAAACTGGGCCAGTGTCCACGAGCCTTGCCTTAGGAGGGCCCCCCGCTGGTGAAAGCCAGGAGAGGAAGGCATGTCAGCTGGAAAACTCATTCCCCAAAGTGGCCTCCATGGACCCGGCTCAGGGCAAAAACTAAAAATAAAATGACACAGAGGAAAAAGAGGAACAAAGTGTAGGGGTCCTGGCTGAATTTTTTGACATCTTACTACCAGAGAGATCAGAGGGGCTGTCTCGGGGCTGCGTGTGATGCTAAAACTATGTTTCCTCTTTGCTCGTCCTGTGCAGCTGGAGACCAGTCCTGTTCCTCCGAGAGGCGACGGGCCCTGTCCAGACTCCACTTCGGGCCCTTGGGCGACTTCAGCCTCCACAGCATGTTTTCGGCTTGGAAAGGAGCCGGATCAGCCATGTCCTGCCCACCCATGATCAAAGAGCTCTTTGTGGACTCAGGGATTCTCCGCCCCATGGTCGAAGGGCGGAACCAACAGTTTTCCACCTCAGAGAGTCTCCTCACAGAAGCCATCCGAGGGATTTTTCCCTCCCGAGACTTAGCTCGTCTTGCCCTTCAGTTTACCACCAACCCAAAGCAGCTCCAGCAAAACCTCTTTGGAGGGAAATTTTTGGCAAATGTTGGCCAATTTAACTTGTCTGGAGCCCTTGGCACAAGAAGCACCTTTAATTTCAGTCAGTTTTTCCAGCAACTTGGTCTCCCAGGCTTGCAGAATGGAGGAGGACATGTCGATCTATCAAAGCCCCTCTCTGCAGGGCTGGATTCGAATCCTGCCGTGGAAACACCCAGAGCCATTAAGAAGGGCAGTACTATGAATAAAACAATTGTGGGCAGCTTTGGCTTTGACATCAACTTACAAGAGAACCAAAATGCCCTGACATCTCTTGCTTCTCTCCTGGACCTTCCAGAATTCCTTCTGTTCCTGCAACATGCGGTTTCAGTGCCAGAAGACATAGCCAGGGATTTGGGTGATGTGATGGAAATGGTGCTCAGTTCCCGGGGCTGTGAGCCAACACCTGGCAGACTTTTTGTCCCGTCCTGCACGGCAGAAGGAAGCTATGAGGATGTCCAGTGCTTTGCTGGAGTGTGCTGGTGTGTGGACTCCCAGGGCAAAGAACTGCCTGGCTCGAGGGTGAGAGGTGGACAACCAAGGTGCCCCACAGAGTGTGAAAAGCAAAGGGCTCGGATGCAGAGCCTCTCTGGCAGCCAGCCTGCAGGCTCCAGTCTGTTTGTGCCTTCTTGTACCAGCCAGGGGCACTTCTTACCTGTCCAGTGCTTCAACTCTGAGTGCTACTGTGTAGATGCGGAGGGCCAGGTTATTCCTGGAACTCGAAGTGTACCTGGACAACCCAAGCAGTGTAAGTCTGTTGGGTGCTTAACCTACAAACTCTGATTCTCCTTTGGGGCCCTGACCCATGCATTACAGAGAAAAAGAATGTAGTCACAGCTAAATCTCTAACTTGTGTTAATGGCAACATTTTCTGGTTAATTTAAAAATTGTCCAGAAAAGTCTTGATAACACTAACCATTTTAATGAATAGGGATACTTACTTGGCCTTAAGGAACCATGGCACGTGTCTGTAGCGTTGACAACAGCTGGATTCAATGGAGCCCATTTAATGATAGGGACGCTCTGTGCAGATGTGATGAGATCTATGGCTGAATAAGATTTTAGGGGGAGTTTGGACAACTAGATGTTTCCATCTTGGTCTTCTGAGCTCAATAAACTCCTTAACCTGACACATGCGTTCATTGTTCCTCCCCAGGCCCCACACCTTGTCAGTTACAGGCCGAACAAGCCTTCCTCCAAGTGGTACGGACCCTGGTCTCTAATTCTAGCATGGCGCCCACTCTCTCCAGTGTCTACATCCCACAGTGCAGCACCAACGGGCAGTGGAGCCGCATGCAATGTGATGGGCCCCCGGAGCAGGCCTTCGAGTGGTACGAAGGGTGGAGGGCTCAGAACGACGGTGGCCGGGAGCTAACCGCTGCTGAACTGCTGATGAAGATCCTGAGCTACAGAGAAGCAGCTTCCAGAAGCTTCAGTCTCTTTATTCAAAGTCTGTATGAGGCTGGCCAGCAAGGCATCTTCCCAGGGTTGGCAAGATACTCTTCTCTCCAAGACGTCCCACTGGCCGTGTTGGAAGGGAACTGGACCCAGCCAGGAAAGAATGTCTTCCTGGAGCCCTATGTCTTTTGGCAGATCCTAAATGGCCAGCTCAGGCGATACCCAGGGCCCTATTCAGACTTTAGCACCCCTTTGGCGCACTTTGACCTCCGGACTTGCTGGTGTGTGGATGAAGCTGGTCAAGAACTAGAGGGAACCCGGACTGAGCCAGGCAAGGTCCCAGCATGTGAGTTAAACCATGTGAAGAACTGAATTTGTGCTTTTGAAGGAAGGTATTGAGTGTCAGAGCTGGACCTGAGTTTAGATATGGCCAAGTACATCCATCCAATGTATGGTTGAGGAAACCAAATGCATGTCAGCTCTGGCTGCTCTAACAGAGCACCATACACTGTGGGGCTTACCCAACAGGCATTTATTTCTCATGGTTCTGGAGGGTGGAGGTCCAAGATCAAGGTGGTGGCAGGATTGGTTCCTGGTGGGAGCCCTCTTCTGGCTGGTAGATGGCCATCTTCTTGCTTGTGTCCACTGGCAGAGAGAGAAAGAACTCTGGTCTCTTCATCTTTTTATAAAGACGCTCATCCCCTCTTGAGGGCCCCACCCGCATGCCCTCATCTAAACCTGATCACCTCCCAAAGGTCCCACCTCCAAATACCATCAGACTGAGGGTTGGGGCCCCAACACATACATTTTGGAGGGACACACACATTCGGTCCATAACACTGAGGCTCATAGAAGGGAAGGGATTTCCCCTCATCAGTGCAGTCAGGGGGGTTGGCAAAGTTAATATAGTTCACTATTAAATTTTCATATAATCATTTACATCCATGCCTCAAGTTTTAACTTGATGTCTTCTGTTTACAAAGCGTTATCTGAGGCCTGATGAGGGCTCTAAAGTGAATACGGCCTGGCTTTTAGCCTCTATGGCTAATGCTTTATAATCACTTACAAGTCAGGGGTGTGGTTTAGTCAACCAACACCAATATGATGGTCTTGTTACCTACAAGGACACTGCTCTGGACCTCAGGAAGTGCTTCTGTCTTCCAAGTGCCTTAATTAAAGGGCTGATTTAACTAAAGGACTAATAGGAGAGCTGCTGCTTGAGGTCTATAAGTTCAGTCAGGTAGGCCCATGAGAAAGCTGCTCTGTGTGAGGCACAAGCAGAATGACGCAGACTCTGTGTCAAACTGAAATGCCTTTTACCCAGTAGACACGCCAGCAGGGGTTTGAAGCAACAGCCGGGCAGCTTCCACGCCGTTGTTCTCAAATCAGAGTCTGTCTCGCCAGCGTTGCTGATGTCACGGGTAATACTATAGCTGCTCAAGTCCAATAAGATCTTTCCATTCATTGTTGGACCAGACCTTTCTGGATTATGGCAAATTAGACTATTCGGTGTTAGTTGAAGGTTAGGTGTTAATAGCCGTGGGTTTGTAGAACGTTTGGTGACAGGGATGTGTGATGAGAGCTGGCATACCTGGGCATTTTAAATGGCCTAGAGACCCCACTCCTAGGATTCTCCATTAAAATGTCAAGTTCTGGAAACAGGCTAAGCCTCAAAGGCAACCCATAGATGTCTGCTGTTGCACAGATTAAATTAGATCGTCTGAGTACACGTGCTTAGTGTGGAGCAGACATTAGCGATGCCTAATCTTTTCACATAGTAGGGCCTCCATCAGTGTTGAGTGAATGAGATTGTGGAGACAAAATGGAAAAAACATTCCAGGTTGTGGTAAGAGCTGGCGAGAAGGAAACAGCTGAGGCATCAATGTGTGTGTGCATGTGTGTGCACACATGGTGCACACTTCTAAAGCATCAAGGGCGCCGTATGTGGTCGTTGGCACACCCACCTGCAGTGTCTTTGTTCTCCTAGGTCCTGGCTCCTGCGAGGAAGCAAAGCTTCGTGTTCTGCGGTTCATTAAGGACACGGAAGAGATGGTCTTGGCTTCCAACAACTCTTGGTTCCCTCTGGGAGAGAGTTTCCTAGCGGCCAAGGGGATCCAGCTGACCAATGAGGAGCTCGGCCTTCCCCCGCTCGCCCCACCCCGGGGGGCTTTCTTGGAGCAGTTCCTGAGCGGGAGCGATTATGCCCTTCGTCTGGCAGCTCAGTCCAGTGAGTGTCGTGCACTTCTGGTTTCTCGTTCCATCTCTTGGGGGAGCAAGAGCTGGAATAGTTGCTCTTGAGCTATCTTCAGGGCTTTGCTGCCTTGGTTTCTCCACGCCAGTGGGTTCCTGGGAGAGCAAAGGCAGAGGTTTTATGGTACCAGTCCAAGCCAGGATGTGCCTAGCTCTCCAAGATGCTTCCAAACCCTCCAGCAGAGCCACCTGCAGGTCTCTATGAAGCCAAACGCTCCTGTTAAAATGTGATGGATGCCAGCCCCAGGGCTTGTGCTCCCCTCCTAGCCAGTTCCAAAGCTTCCTTCCGTCTCTGGGAATCTAGGGTTATCCATAGGGGAAAGGAGAGGAACCCTCAGTACAGAAACGTTACTGGATTCGGGCTCCTTCCACAGATGAGCTCACCTAATCCTGCTCGTGACTCCGGAAAACAAGCCGTATGGCCGAGAAAGAAGCTCAGAGCACCCACAGGGCTCGCGCCCATAATAGCAGCTCAAGGTCACACAGCACTTCCCACTGGCCAGCCGCTTAGTGTGCTGAGTGGATGACTAGATCTCTGCATTTGATCCCCCAGCAGTTCTCTGAGAATGAAGCTATAATCACCATTGGTGATGTTCTCAAATGCAGACACTGAGGCTAAGTCACAGGCCCAGCTCACCCAATTAATAAGTAGCAGAGCCGGGATGTGCGGCATGGTCGGGCCCCGAGCCTCTGTGCCTAGCTGATCCCCAGCCTAGCCCTGCCTCGTCCCAGAGCCCTGCTCTCCCTCCACCACCTGCAGCCTCCTCTGGCCAGGGGTCCGATGCCCCTCCCAGCTCTCTCACTGACCCCACGCCAGCTTGAGAGGGACAGAAGATTCCTGTCTCCAAGCCTGTTGGAGCTCCCCATCCCTTGTCAAATTATCTCAGCTGGCTCCCTGTCTGGAGATTCCTGGGCTTGGGTCACAAACAGCAAAGCAGTCACACCCTGCCACCATCTGAGCAGACAGAGTGCCCTCTCCATGGGCCAGAGCTCCCTGCTTTCCCATTCCTGGGATGTCTGCTGCACCTTGGGTGGGTCCGTGGTCTTTGTTCGCTTAACCCCACAGGAGGCGAGAACCTCCCACGGTCCATCTGTTTCCTGCTCCCTTCCTCACCTGTCGCCGCCTTTGAAGGACAAGGCATTACGTCTTGTCTCACTCACCCTTATATCCTGGGCCTGGCACAGTGCCTGGCAGACCGTAGGAGCCCAGTAAATGGTGGTTAACCATCCTTCCTACTTCTGTGCCTCCTCTCTCTCTCTTCCGTCCCCTCTCGCCCCCGATGCCCAGACACTCCTTTCTCTGTTCCTCAGAGGCCTGAGGACTTCTGCTTTGGGCAGGAAGCCAGTGGTTTTGCATTTTGTGCATGGACAGGGTCTGATGGGATTAAAGAGCGGAGGAGTGGGATTTTGCCTGGGGAGCTGTGACCACTTTGGTTAGTGAGGGAAGTGTAGGGAGGGGGACGGGAAGCTATTGGTGCCACAGAGATTTATTCATTGGGTGGCAATGATGGCATTTTCTTCCGAAGTCGAGCTAAGGAAGATCCCCTCCACTCAGCCGCACGCTCTGAATTTTCGTGTCTGGCACTGTAGACAGAGGAAGTGTCCACAGAGAGGGAGCGGGCTGCTCATTTCCCCGGAATCCCTGAGTGAGAAGGGGCGGCCCAGACATTGCAGAGCAGAGGAAGCTCTGTGCGTGCAGACCTCCAGGTCCAGGGAGTCTGAGGACGGGAGGCCCAGGACAAGAGGGGATTGAGGGCCACAGAGTGTCTTTGGCCAACATGACAGCACTGTCCTTCCTGAGGGGTGTGTGGGAGGAAAGGTTCACAGCTGCACCTGGCATGAGCTTGGTGCTTGAGCTCTTTTGATATAAATGTCACACTCACCCTGTCAAGTGTTAGCTGCATTTCACAGATGGAGACACTCAGGCTTACAGAGGTTGGCAAGTTGCTATTATCACACAGCCAAGAGATGCTGTGCCGGGAATCAGGCAGAAGCTTGTGAGACTCCCGAGTCCTGGTCTCCCCAGATGGATTCTGACTGTGAGGAGTGGTGCCTGAGGACTGTGCCCTGACCAGGAACAGAGCACCCTTCCGGTGCACAGGGTGGCACCCAAACAACCGAGCCACATTGACCAGGGCTGCATTTTTATTTTTAAAGGACAGTCTGTCGAACGCCTACCGACGGTTCGAGGAGCCTGTCTCATTTTGGGTGGGAATGTCTGTCATATAGATCCTATGTTGGAACAGGGACATGTGTGGCTCTTCTCAGGTGCTCATGCCTCTGCGCCTCTCTCTCTGACTGCAGCCTTCGACTTCTATCAGAGTGGCCGATTCTCCCTGGCTGATTCCTCAGGAGCGTCCCCTCTGCGGTCTAGCTCCTATGTGCCCCAGTGTGATGCATTTGGAAGTTGGGAGCCTGTGCAGTGCCACACTGAAACTGGTGAGGGGGATGGGCACCCATGGGACACCCCTCCTTTTCATTTAGTGCAAAGTGTGGGCATTGGGGCAAGTGAGCTGGACTCTAGGGCCCTCCTTGGTAGCTGGTGGCAAATCCCTTAGTTTCCCTGGCGTCTGGTTGACTCATCTGTACAATGGGAGCATGACCTTCTGCCAGCCTGAAAGTAGTTGCTGGGGGGATTGGGATGCTAAGGCCTGTGGTTGTGAATGTTGTTGGGAGGGGGCGGATGGGGGCCTTGCTGACAGTTAGCAATGTAAAGAGGGCTGGTTCTTTGTCAGACACCCGTGGCCGAGTCCCCCGTGTGCCTCCTGAACTCTGGCTGTGGTCTTTCCTAGGGTACTGCTGGTGTGTGGGTAAGACGGGAGACTACGTCCCTGCCTCGCTGACTGCGCGCTCCTCCCAGCTCCCCCAGTGTAAGTGGAGCCCGCAGGCCCCCACCTGACCCTGTGGTGGGCACTCTGGGCTGGTGGTGCCCCCACTGTTACCCAGCAGGGGAGGAGCCCCGAGGGCAGCCAGACCACGTGTTCCCAAGTCCCCAAGTCTGGAAGACCCTCACAGACCTAGGCCCTCCTAGTTTCCCAGGAGGAGGGAGGCAGCAGAGAGGCGGAGGGCCCTGGGCTCCTGACACCCTGCTCTCTGTGCAGTTTCATCCACTTCTGTTGTTTCAACAGCCACCTCACATCTGTTCTGCAGCCCAACCTTTTCTGAGTTTCTGATCCATAAAATCACTGCCCACTTTAATCTCCGAGATGATGGAGCCACATGGACCTTGTCCCCGAGCCTCAGCCTGCTTCTACCCTGAGGCTCCAGCTGTCCTCGCAGGGCCTCCATCTCCCTGACATGTAACTCTGACACCGGCCAGCCTGGGCTCTCCGCTCTCCTAGCACCCATGCCAGCCTGTTAAGCGCTTTTCTCTCCCGCAGGCCCCACCACCTGTGAGAAATCTCGAGCGAGTGGACTGCTTTCCAGTTGGAAACAGGCTGGATCCCAAGGAGACCCTTCCCCTAAAGACCTGTTCATCCCAACCTGCCTACAGGTAAGGCTGCAAGGGACCAGGAAGGGCGTGAAAGAAGCCAGGACTTCCTCCCACAGGTCAAGGATGACTTTTCTAGTTCTAGGGCTGGATTTTTGTCTTATTCCTGGCAGTCTGGCTGGGTGATTTGGGGCCATTTACTTACCTTCTCTATGTGTTCATTTTTTTAATCATACGATTGGACCACACTTTTACCCTACCTAATGCTAGGATTGTTTCAAAGGCCCAAGGAAATGCTGCCCATGAAAACTCATTAAAAAATCATTTACATGTATACATGCTTTTTGTAGTCATCTTGGCAAAGTTGTTATGCAAAGTGGTTATATCTCAGTATCTCAACATAAATGGGACATGTCATAATAGTGCCCTCCCAGCTCCCTGGGGGATTGTAATAATTCAGTGCAATAGCTGATTTTAGGAATAAAAGCTCCTAGAGAAAGGATTCATGCTAGAATCTCAACCACTTATGTGCCAAGTGATGAAGTCCCCGGGTCCCGGTTTCCTCTCCCTAATAGGGAGGTCTGCTAGGAACACTACCACCTGCTCTGTCCAGTTCCCGGGGCTTCAGGAAAATCAGATGAAATCCCGAGACTGGGATACCAGTGGGCCTGCCTTGTGGGGCGGTTCTAACCATCAGTTCAATAGTGTATGGGAAGGTCTGCGTCAGGAGAGCGCCTCCCTACGCCACCTCCCTCCGTGTGGAGAAGCCAGCACTAGTGGTTGTGGGAGGGACATTCTTGACACCTGCTCACTGACCTGTGGGCTGCAAAAGCACCTTCCCTGGATTATGTGACCTTGGCTCTGTCTCAGACAGGAGAGTTTGCCAGGCTGCAGGTGTCGGAGGCTGGCATCTGGTGCGTAGACCAGGCCTCAGGAGAAGGGACCCCGCCCAGCACAAACAGCAGTGCCCAGTGTGAGTAGTCACCTTTCCCCCATGGCCCCCAACTCCTCCCCATGCCCTGGGATTGGAGTCCCAAAGGTGGCTTCATGTCCCAGCTCTGCCACTTCTAGAGCCATGGAAGCCTCTAACCTCACTGTGCCTCAGTCTTCTCATCTATAAAACAGGAGCAAGATTCCCTAACCTCAGTGGGCTCTTGGGAGAAACACATGGCAGGGAGCAGGGATGTGCTATGTAACTGGGAAGTGCAAGCCAGCACTGGTCCCAATTAAGGTGGGCACTGGTGCTTTAGTGGGGTGACCAGATGAAGACAGCTGAAGGTACAAGTCCCTCCCTGGTCCCTGGGCTCCAAGCCTGGCCCTGAACCTGGTCTCACAGTGAAGTCAAGATGCTGATGTCTCCCCTCTGCCTGAAAGCCACCCACACTCCCCATGGTCCTGAGGGCCAGGCCCAAGCTCCTTGCCACGGCTATGGGCCCTTCCCTGTACATGTGGCTCCTGGGTCTCTTGTTTCTCCGTCTCTCACAATCAGGATCCGGGTGCAGTAAATTACAGTCAGACTTTTTAAGAAGGTGCCACTCTCTTCCCCTGGGCCTTCATGTGCTGTGGTTCTGCCGCCTGCAATATGTCCTCCCCGACTCCCCACCCCTCCCTGGCTAATTGTTACTCAGTCCCCGGAGACCTCTCTTCCCCAGCTAATTCAGGGCCTTCCTCTGGGTTCCTAAACTGCCCTGTGCATCTCCCACTGTCGCTCTGATCACTTTGAACTATAGTTGCTCACTTTCTTGTTTGTTTTTAAAAATAAGAGTGTATTTGAGCCAAACTGATGACATATGCTGGGGAGCAAGGTCTCAAACCCTCCCAATTGCTCACGTGTTAAATCTTCTTTAAGACTCTAAGCTGCTTGAGGGCAGGTGGTGTGAGTGTGAATTCTAGTGTGTGTGTGTGTGTGTGTGTGTGTGTGTGTGTGTACAGAGCTGAGCAAGGCCTAGTCGTTGCCCTGCTCTAGTTCAACACCCCAGTGGGAGGCAGCCCAGACCCTGGTGGCCCGGTAAGCAGATGGCGGCAGGTGGCACCTGTGGGTAGTGAGGGCTATGGTGGCTCTGTGGGCCTCTAGAAACTCCATCTGGTTTGTCTGTGTGTCCAGGCCCAGGCCTCTGTGAATCACTCCAGAGCGGCATCCCCTCCAGGAGGCTGGGCCCAGGCTACACCCCGGCCTGCGAGGCAGAGGACGGTAGCCTTTCCCCCGTGCAGTGCGACCCGACCCAGGACAGCTGCTGGTGTGTCTTTGGAAGTGGAGAGGAGGTGCCTGGGACCCGTGTGGCAGGGAGCCGGCCGGCCTGTGAGAGTAAGATGTGCTGCCCTCAGCGGCTGCCAGGGCTGGTGGGGGGCCCTGCTCATCTATCCCTTCACCAGGGTGGGGTGGACTTTAAAGTACCAGGACAGTGGGGCTGGGAGGGGAGGTGGGGAGCGCAGAGGATGTGGTGGCTGCTGATTCCCATGTGGTCGAAACTGGCGTCTGCTTCCTGCAAACGCTCAGCCCTGGAGCTGAGAACAAGTGGAGCTGTGCGGTGGCTCCAGAGGCCAGGAGGCCGGGGCTGGCCTGCGGAGGACTCCAGGTCTCCCATCCTGGAGGGGGGCGGAGGGCGCTGAGTCAGAGTCTCAGTGGGGGTGAGTCCATCCCAGCAGGAAATGGCAGGAATTTGTGCAAGTGTTGACTTGTTTATTTTTATTTCTAGTTTAAAAAATTGTTTGGATATAAAATATTAAAATATATATCATATAAACATATATTACCACATTGAAATAGGTTATTACATAATCAAATCTATTATTTAATTATCAATTACTTGCCTTTTATTTGTGAAGCCACCAGCATTAACATGAGCCCCCTAAAGGCTCTTCCTGCGGATCAACTGCAGAGTGTGGTGGAGAAAGCTCAGATGTGGGAGCCAGACAGACAGACTTGAAAGTCAGCTCTCTGCTTCCTTGCTGGGTGGCTTCAGGCTAGTTCCTTAACCTCTCTGGATCTCGGTTTCCCAATCATGCTATTTCCTAGGGCCATTGTTCAGGTTAATTCAAATAGTCTTGTAAATGGCTTAGCCTGGTGGCTCTGAAAACAACCTCTGGGGTCACACCTGGCTCTTCACTGTGCTGCTGTGGGCCTCAGGGCAGAAACGTTAACCTCCCCATGCTTCAGTGTCCCCCTCTGCCAATGGCAATGACAAGAACACCCACATCCTAAAATTTCCAGTGCAGGCTATAATGTATACTCCCTTTGTTAATAATAATACATGGCCTGGCAACTCAGTCAGCTCACTGCAGATCGCAGAGCAAGCTCTTGGCTTGAGGCTATGGCTCTTAGAAAGCAGAGAGGCTGCACCTTGGAGATTAAAATGAGTCATTCTCTATCTTTGAGGCCCCCTGGGTACCCTTGAATCACATGGGGATTCAAATTGTAGAGTAAACAGGCAGGAAGGCTGTGCCCGAGCGAGAGCAGGTAATTAAATCTCTAGTCAGGTGTGAAATTGTCACACCGGGCTATGCGTCAGTCAGTTATTCACCCACTGGTGTAACCCATACTCACAGTCAGCACTGTGCTGTGTCTGGGTGAACAGAGGAAAGGCCCCCCTCTTTCCTCCTGGGGCTCAATCCCGTGGGGAGACTGGTGTGCGGGAATGGGACTCTCGACTCATTGATAACGTGCAGGGTGACACCAGCTGGCCGGAGACCTTGGAGAAAGGAGACCTAAGAAGGCCCAGGAGAACCATGGAAGGTGTTAGAAAGCTAGAGGTGCTGAGCTGATAATTGAGGGTCAGAAAGGAATTTTCTAGGCAGATGAGCAGGCGGAGGGAAGGGCATTAGGTGTGGAACAGAGATCTGCTCAGGGAAAGGCAGCCATGTCTGGAGGCAAAGGGGGCCTGAGGGAATCAAGAACAGAGAGAGAAGGTCGGTCCTCAGACCCCCAAGGGACAGAGTTGGTGTCCAGCTTCGCTNGGTCCTCAGACACCCAAGGGACAGAGTTGGTGTCCAGCTTCGCTGCAGTTCCTTTGCCGGCAGTGGGGACTGGATTGCACTTGTGANGTGTGAGCAGAGAGGTAGGGGACGAGCCCAATGCAGGGAACCTGGCGAAGAAGCTTCCATAGCAGGTTGAGAAGAAGATGAAGGGAGTGCAGTGGAAATGCAGAGAAGGTGAGAAGGTGTGAGCCATGGCCTTCGCTGATGGCTGGGCAGAGGGGGTGGGACTGTCCAGAGTGGCCGCCGTGTTCCTGGCCAGGGAGAGCCGGGTGGCAGGAGGTGCCATGCGTGGAGCTCCAGGTACTGAAGTGACAACAGGCAGCAATGAGTTAGGAAGTGTTGGCTTGAGGTGGAGAGGACCAGTGGTGATTGGATTTAGAGAGATGGGCAACAGCTCAAGAGGTCTGAGCTGGAGGTGAAGATACAGGAGTCCTCCGTGCTCAGGTGTCTGTCACAACCAAGAGAGGACAGGTTCATTCAAGAAGAGGGAGGAGAGGGAGGGAGCAGGCCCAGGTCAGGGCCCGAGGAGCCAGATATTCTTGGGCAGGAAGAAAAAGAGAGACGCAGGAGCCCTGAGCCACCCTGTGCTGGGCAGATGCCCACAGCGGCCCTCTCTCTTGCTGCCAGGCCCGCAGTGCCCACTGCCATTCAACGTGTCAGATGTGACTGGTGGAGTGATCCTGTGTGAGCGAGCCTCGGGCCCTCGAGGGGCCACCGTCCAGCTGTGCCAGCTGCTGTGCCGCCAGGGCTACCAGAGCGCGTTCCGGCCAATGTCATTGGTGTGCAGCCTGGAGACGAGACGCTGGCTGTCACAGCCACCCCAGCCCCTGGCCTGCCAGCGTGAGTGGCCTCTGGAATGTCTGCCCTGTACCTGCTCCCTCGCACTTTCCATGCCTGCACTTTCCCTGCGATCCAGGTGGCATCCGGAGCAGGAGAGAGCTTGTCAGGCCTCTGAGTGTGACTCTCCACACCAGGTCCACCTGGAGCTCCAGGGTTAACACCTGGCAGAGCTGTGGGTCTGGGCCCTGTTTGAATATCGGCGTAAGTCCTGTCCTGCCCACCCGCTGAACCCACATTCACAAGCACCCTGCTGTAAGGTGGCACCAGGCTCTGACCGCAGCTGCCTTGGCAAAAGCTGGTGTGGTTACTTAGCCAGGCAGGGCAGGGGTGGGCGCTGGGACCTGGCACTGGGTCCACCCAGGGCAGTGGAAGGGGTGTCCAGGATAGGGACCCCGATCCTCAGACTGTCACAAGGCTCTGGGTGGCTGGAAGAGTGTCGCAGGCAGTATTTGTTGCAAAGCATTCTGGAATAGAGAATGCTATCCAGAAAGTTGAAAATGTGATGTGGACAAATCAGTGGATTGTCAAAGTTACTATGACAAAATGGCCTAAGCTGAAATCAAGACCAGGCTGGATCTAAAGTGAGGGACTTGGGAGAAGAGGGGTGTGGGTCTTGAACTCCAAAAGTTGAATGCAGGGCTGCTGTTTTCAGATGTGCACGGTGTGCACTGGACAACCTCAGAGCATGCATTTCATACAGGCTGTGGTGGCCGCTCAACTGGCAAGACCACATGGAGCTGCCCTGGTTGAATGCAAGATAGCGTGGGAGCTTTCCAAGGGGAATGTCCAGAACCCCAGGATGTAGAGCAGCCTGGGTTAGAGCCTGAGGCGGTATCGAGCTGGCTGGGAGGTGCTAGGTAACCTCAGAGATGAGCTGCCACACTGGGGAGTCATCTGAGCATGACAATGCAAGACGGCAGTGCTGGAGGACTCCAAACTAAATGAAGGAGGGTTATATTTGCAGAGAAAAAAACAGAGAAAAGGACCCCACGGTCTGTCACCTGCGTCTGCTGACCTCTGACACGCCCCTGCAGGGCTCCAGCTGTGGCAGACCCTCCAGACCCAAGCACAGTTCCAGCTCCGGCTCCCACCAGGCAAGATGTGCAGTGCAGACTACTCGGGCCTGCTGCTGGCCTTCCAGGTCTTCATCTCAGACGAGCTCAGGGCCCGGGGCTTCTGCCAGGTCCAGGTAAGTGCACGGCCTTCCCCCTGGTGGGGCTCGGACGGAGCTCAGGGTCATGGTGTCAGAGAAGCTCAGATGAACCTGCACTTGGACCCTCACTCATTTTACCAGTGGGCAAACCGTGGCCCCGAATGAGAAAGTAACCCGGCTGAGGCTAATTATGTGGCGGCAGAGGCGGAATCCAAGCCCATCTCATCACTGGCTAAGTGCCCGGCACTTAGTTTCTCATCCAGTGACAACTACACGAACACCCATATCCACTTACTCTCCTTCATCCTGGGTGTAGTGTGGTGGGTGGCACACAGTACAGTGCTTGGCACCATCCTGTGGCATGGCATGTCCTGTCGATGATGTCCTGAAGCACAGGCTGCCTCCGCGGGGCCTTCGCCAGGCGCCCAGAGCTCCCCATCACCTCTGGACAGTGAGCTTTGATGAACTCACATCCCCTGGGGTTGGATATAGAAGCTCTTGGGCTGTTACCCTTGGAAAGAGTGTGCTGTGAGGAGGGCAAGGTGAGCTGGTGTTGAACTCGGACCCGTGCCCAGCACTGTCCTTGGGCCAACCAGGCTCCCTCACCATCCATCCTCCCACCCTGCCCCGAAGGAACCTCTGAATCACATTCAGTGGGCACCGGAGGCGGCCGCGCTCGGGCTGGGAGGAGAAGCCAGGCTGTGTAGGTGAAACGGAGAAGCCTGTGGGTGCTGCAGCTTCGAAGGGGGAAGGTGGTGTCCTTTCAGCTGGGTGCACGTACTGAGGACGTTTGTAGAGTCACTGGTGAAATGAATTAGGAGCATTTGGGCTTTTGAAGCATAGGGCAATCGGTTCTTACTCCACTTGTCTGTAAGCTGTGTGGCCAAGGCAAGTTACCCAACTTCTCTGAACCTCATCTTCCTCAGGGGGTAAAGGGGGTTGATAATACTTTACCCCTGAGGAGGGTCACAGGGAGGATTCAAGGAAGTAAGTGTTGGTTCCGACTGGCCCCCATACGGAGGGCAAGGAGAGACAGAGGAAGAGCCAGACCACTCCGGATGGGGAGGTGCAGGTTTAAGGAGCTGGGGGACTCACGTCCCAGGCTTGTCTTGGAGGCTGCAAGACGAGCAGTTCTCAATAAACCCGCCAGAATCTTCCAAGTTAATCCAGAGACCTCAGTGGGGTTGTCAGGTACACCTCCACGCTGCGTCCTTGAAACGGCTCCCGCTGTGGGAACAGTGGGCAGAGTGTGCGTTCCAAGGACAGGGGAGGGGTGAGGAGCCTCCAATTGCCCAGGTCCAGCTTGCAGGCCACCCTGCAATCGCACCCTCTCGATGACCTCCTTCAACAGTAATATCAACCAGTTTTGGGGACTGCTGTGGGCTCAACAGAGCTGGCTCCCTTCCCTGCGTTCTTGAGCTGGGCATCTGTCTCCGTAGGTGAAGCTTTCCGGGACCCCTGTCTCTGTTCCTGTCTGCGACGACTCCGTGGTGCAGGTGGAGTGTCTGACCGCGGAGCGTTTAGGAGTGAATGTCACGTGGAAATTGCGGCTTGAGGATGTCCCACCGGCCTCTCTTCCTGATTTGCATGACGTTGGTATGTTCCCCTGTGTTGCTGACTTAGAGAAGCTATGCAGAGTCTCTGGGTCTCCGTGTCCTCATCTGTCAAAGGGAGCTGGTGGAGCCATAATATGCCTCCCTGTGAGTCTCTAGTGAGAATTATCAACCCGGCCCACAGGAGGAGCTAAGTATTAAACAGAATGTAAAAATCAATAGACTTCTGATCAATAGCTTACGAAAGTTAAATACTATCACCTGATTATGTTTCTGTGAACATTTTTTCTAATTCTTCTCTGGATTTTCGGGGCACAGAGAGGGAATACAGGTGTGAAGAAAAGAGGGGCGGGTGAGGGAGCCTCTAGATTGGTTTATAATTCATGTCCTGTCCACTTCAAATTATGAAACTTCTCAGACCACTCACACTCTTCAAACCCATTACTATGCTTCTAAAACAGGACAGTTACAGCGAGGGTGAGCTGAGAGAGTAGAAAGGTCTGAGGAGAAGTGGAGTGGATTTTATGGCTACCGGAGGTCAGCACTGGCTGGACTTGGCCTCTGTTCTCTGAGGGGGGCCTTCTGGAAAAGGTGGCCAGGGTATAACCGGAAGGGAGACTGCATCTCTGCCAGTCTGCAGCCCTCGTGGCAATAATCCCCAGCATTATGAATTAGGGGTCCTCTTTGTCTCCCTCTGGCAAGAGCCTGGATACTTGGGCTGTGTTTGAAGCTGCGGAGGAGATGTTTATTCCTAGCGACAATGACGACTGTGGTTTCTGGCCTCGGGCTGGCTTTGCGGTAGCCTGTTGGAAAGAAGCGTTCCTTGCGGGCTGAGGTCCATCCTGCTCCAGATGTGGGGCCCCTCTTCTTCCTGCCGAGGAAACACTGGAGGCTCTCAGTGAGCAGGAGGCAGAGGCTTCATTGCCTCTGGGGGCTTTGCCTTCTGCTTGAGGGGCCCCATAGTGCACATTCGCACAATCCTCACCAACTGCGAGAGAAACATTCCCATTTTGCAGATGGGGGAACTGAGACTCAGAGATGGTAGGTTGCCAAAGGCTGTTTACCCAGACAGTGCACCTTAGATTAGGGACTAAAATCATATTATCCTATGCCAGCGGGGGTCACATGGATGCCACAGAAGGGGCAACAGCCACAGACCTGGGCTGGAGTGCTAGCTGTGCTTCTGACCCCTGTGTGACCTTGGGCCAATCAACCCTCGTCTCTGAGCCTCCAGTTCTTTACCATGAAACACTGGATAATGCCTATGTATCCTCTCAGCGTGGCTGTTCTGGGTAGCTCTGCCCCTGGACCCTCCCCAGCCCTGGCAGAGAACAGTGAGATGGCACTCCTGCCCCACCCCATGTCTTGCAGAGGAAGCCTTAGTGGGCAAGGACCTCGTTGGGCGCTTCGCAGATCTGGTCCAAAGTGGCATGTTCCAGTTTCACCTGGATTCCAAGACGTTCCTAGCAGACACCTCCATCCACTTCCTCCAGGGGGACAGCTTTGGCCCCTCTCCCAGGACACGATACGGGTGCTTGGAAGGATTCCATCCCGTCGCGGCCCCCAGCAACGCCAGTCAGGACCCACTGGGGTGCGGTAGGTCCAGCCCCTTCCCTGGACTGCTGTCACAGAGCGATGCGAGGCTGCGGGAAAGGCCACCAGAGCTCTGGGAGAGTGGACATACAGAGTGGAGAATCATTCATTTCTTTATGCAAAAGTTCTTCAGTCCTCCACCGTGTGGGCCAATAGTCATCACCCATTAGGTAGCAGCTGAAGCAAGAGGCACAGACGACAGGACAGAGGGAAGAATCCCAGTGACTGAGGTTATCCCTTCCCCTTGGTTCTTGACAAGCTTGGACCCTGGGGTCTGGGCTGCACTGTCTTTGTGGCGAAGGCTCCCGTCTACCCTCTGTGCTCCGTGACAGTCCTTAGTCTGGCTGCGGCAGCACATTGCTCCCACTGTCCCCCAGTGCCCACGGATCAGCCCAGGACTTCACTCGGGAGTGAGCCTGGTGGAGGTGGACTGGGGCTCTCAGCCTCGCAGGAAATAGCCTTGGAAGCCTTTTCCCTAGAATGCAGCTGCAAATTCCTTAATAGAAGTTGTGTGAACTTCCTGTTGACTACCACAAACTTAGCGGCTTAAAACAACACACACTTATGATTTTACAGCTCTGCAGGTTTGAGTTCTGACACGGGTCTCACTGGGCTAATATCAAGGTGGCAGCTGGGCTGCCTTCCTCCCGGAGGCCCCAGGCCGTCCTTGACTCTTTCAGCTTTGAGCTGCTGCTCACATTTCTTGGCTCCTGGCTTCCTTTCTTGATCTTTGAAGCCATCAGTGTCATAGCTCTTGGACCATTTTTCTGTAGCCACAGCTTCCTTGGACCCTGTCTTTCGTTTTTAAGGACTCTTGATTAAAAACATCTGAATGACCCACACTCCTTGTTTTAAGGTCAGTTGATTAGCGAACTTAATTCCATCTGCAGCCTTAGTTTCTCTTTGCCGTGTAACCTGACATATTCCCAGGTGTCCTGAACAGTGGACACCTTTGGGGGCCACTGTTCTGCCTGCTACCGAGAATTCCAGGGTCTCATGGTGAGAAGCCATCCTCCCATGTGGCATGAGACACAGTGGCATTTTTATTGAGCTGAAGAGGGAGATGTTTCTTGGTTATTTGTTTATATTGGTTGCAACACAAATGCTACATGGCCTTTCCTTTCATGGAATCGATGCTAAGTTCTAAACTCCATGCTGAATTTAAGATGCAGCTAAATCTTAACACAGAAACACAACCACTTTGCACTGACATTTATAGAGGATTCTGCCGTTTAAATACACCTTCACAAATATTTAACTCTCACAGCAGCCCCAAGTGGCAGAGAATGTCCCCATTTGACAGATGAAGAGGTTGAGGCTCACATGAAATGAGATCATGGGTCTTAGAGCCCAGAGCAGGGCTCACTCAAGAGAGGGCTCAGGTTCCTGATCTGTGGGTGAGTAATCCTGGGTCCTCAAGGACCACAGTTCATGATCTTTCCACCTCACCAGAGCAGCCAAGACACAGGTGACAAGAAATTGCAATAGCAGCAGATGGCGCCACCTTCAGGGTGAGTGAAATAGGGTCATAGCGATAAAGGTGTTCAGAGCACCTGCTGCAGTGTTCGCAAGAGAAGCCCTGGGCTCCACTGCCAGGCTCTGAATTAGGAGGGTTGTGTGTGTGTGTGTGTGTGTGTGTGTGTGTGTGTGTGTGTCCAGTAGTGCTGGTGACAGGGTCTGGGAGCCCCATTCTGAGGCGCACTGACTCAGGTGCNCCAGTAGTACTGGTGACAGGGTCTGGGAGCCCCATTCTGAGGCGCACTGACTCAGGTGCACCCTCTACAGAGTGGAGCCAGCAGGTGGAGCAGGAGGGGGTGGAGGAGATGGGTACTGGGTAAGGCCCAGGTCAGAGACCTGTTCTGCCTTTAAGCACATCCCATTCCCTGGGGGAGGTGCTGGGTGAGGGAGGCAGGTGCCCATTACCTGTAAAATAAAGAGGCTGGACTGGAAAGCTGATCCTCTGCTTCCTTCTAAGGAGCTGGATTATTAGGCTATTAGGTCCCATCTACCAGGATGGGTAACCCAGCACACCTGGGAGGTGAGGGGGGCAGCTGAGAGTCTTTCCTGAAGGGGGACACCTGCATGTGTCAACCAGTCAGAACTTGGCCCCAGGGTGACGGGCTTCCGAGAGAGTGGCAGCCACGGAGGGGGCCTGGGGAGGGGGCTGAATGAAATGCTTGCCCTGGGTTGCACTAAGTAGCTCTAGAGCAGGAGCCTGCCATCTTTTTCTGTACAGGACCAGGTAGCAATTATTCCAGGTTTTGCAGACCATACGGTTTTTGTCTCAATGACTCAACTCATCCATTGCAGGGAGAAAAATGTTCAGTGTTACAATAAAACTTTATTTGCCAAACAGAAGGTGAGCTGAATTTGGCCCAGGGCCTGGGGCTACAGTTTGCATGTGGATCCTCGGGTAAACCTACATTGTTCGTGAACTGCTGCAGGTGTTGACTGACTCACAGAAAGTTGTCAGTCACACCATTCAGCCCCACCCCCTTACTCCAAATACTTAGAAAGATCCAGAATAGAATTCACAAAAGCAGCACGGGAAGCCCTGCGTTTTCTGCAGTATCAATGATAATGGCTATTTGTTATTGAGTTTCTGATGTGGGCCCTACTAGCATTGCTCTGGATCAGAGAGTCAGGCACCGTCAATCCCATCCCATGGAGGAAATAGCCAGGAGAGTACAGTTATAAGTGTTAGGAAACTGCTCTTTGAAGTCAGGAGGGCCTGGGTTCAAGTCCTGGCTCCAACACCTTCTAAATGTGGGATCTTGGGACATTACCTCTTTCTACGCACAATCTGAAAAATAGGGAAAATACCTATCTCATAGGGTTGTAGTTTGAATGCACATCGCATCCCTCACACACAGTGATGTCTCAGCATATGGTTTTGCTGTTTACAAGCTGTGCTGAGGTTTAAGCTCAGCTCTATCGGATCCCAAATTCCTTGTTCCGTTCTCTGCACCCCACGTCTCTTTTCTCCACCAGGGGCTTCTTAGTGAAATCACACTCGCAATTCTGTTTCTGTTCTTATTGGCTCTTTTCCTTCTGAAGCACATCTGGAGCACAGCTGGGAGGCTCAAGCAGAGCCTTGTCCTGTGGAGGTGAAGCAGGGCTTCTGTGACTGTCTCAGGGGCTAATGTGGGTGATCCCTCGGAGGGCAGTGGGAATGTCCACCTCCATGACTCCAGGAGGCGTGGTGACCTTTATCCAAGGACCCTGGACTGGTCCTTGTGGGTCAGTTATGTTCACCCTCTTGCCTCAAGGTCAGCCCTGTGGGTCTTCTTGGAATTACCTGCTGGCAGCTTCATACCAGGTTGGCCCATTAAGGAGAACCCCAGAGAAATGGTCTGGATTTTCCAATTTCTATTCTGGACAACATTAAATTTAATTCATTCACCACAGGTCCTTATAACGGAGCTAGTTCTCTATGGCATTTTTGTGAACTGATATGTTTTCCTTCTTTCTCCTGTTCCTTCCTTTCTTCCTTCTACGCCTGAGTCCTTCCACCCATCCATCCAAGCTTTCAAAATATATTTATGTGCCAAACCCCATGTTACATACTCAGGGAAGCAGAAGTCATAGCTCTACTTTCAAGAGACTGACAGTCTGGTTGGGGAGGTAAGCGACGAGACGGCTAAAATATCCATGAAAATGCTTTTCCCAGCCCGGTGGGGCAGCCAGGGAGGGCTGGCTGGGGGCGGAGGCTGCCATGAATCTTGAGGGTGAGTTACAGTGGCTGTGCGACAAGAGCAGGAGAAAAAGGGTGCATGTGTGTGCACGCACCTGTGCGAGGGTGCTGAAGACATCCCAGAAGTGGAGCTTAGTGAAGAGCATGGTGTCATGAAGTGGGGTGGCTTTGTGGGGACAGTGCACATGGTTTATGTGGACATGGGACCAGAGAGACAGGCAGGGGTTAGAGTGGGGGTGGCCTTGGGGCACTGCAAGGGGCTTAGACCAGTGCCTTAGACCCTTTCACGGGGGGCACAGCATGAAAGAATTTTAAGTTGGAAAGTGTCAGCGCCAGGCATGGCACTGAGCGAGGCAGGCCGAGGGGTGGAGAACCATTGTGCTTCCTCGCAGACGCTTCTCTTCAGCAGAAATGTGGCCGCTGCTGCGGGACCGTGGGACCCAGTTGGCATGACCAAAAGCTTGTGAAACTCGCAAACTCAAATAGGCCACAATGTCTCATTTCATGGAGGAGGGGACTGAGGCCAAAGTGATTTTCAGAGGGAGTTACCTGAAGGAGACATGCCCAGCTGCCATCCTGGACTCAGGGTCTTCGGGAGGACCACCTGCCGAGGGAAGGATGACAACCATCGGCCACTGTCTCCTCTGACTGACACAGGGTTCCTCTGGGGGGGTGCGGCTGTCGACATCAGAGATGGAGAGGAACAGAATGCACCCGAGCATAGACCCCAGGCTGCACCTTGGGTTGAGGGCAGGGCAGCTCAGCTGCTGGAGAGGTTTTGATTTCCTTTAGCCATGACTTTGGAGACCACTTGAAAGAACAGTCAGAGCCCTGGGGTTAAAATACTAGAGATGATCAACAACCTGACTCATAGAAGGAATGAAACCCCACTCTCGGAGCGAGGCTATTAATTGCTCAGGGCAGACCGGAAAACACATCGCTCAGTTTCCAGGATGTGTCTCGAGTTTCTGATTTACTCAGAGATGCCTGTGAGGTGACTGTGTACTAGAGATAGGAGTTGTTAAGTCCACACGGGCTTCATTCTAGCACGTCCCACACGTCTGTGTTTACTACTTGGTCAAAGGAAGTTGGTTGCACTGGTGGATGGAGGAAAGGCTTTGGCTTGGGGAGAATGGCGCTCAAGTCCAAAGTCAGTTAGGTACAGCGGGGAGAGACACTTGACCCAATCTGCCCAACCCCGACCACTGAGGCTGGGCTTCATCTTTCAGGCCCTCCTCGCCTCCTGCCTTTGTCCACTAAGCTTTACCCAGTAGCTGGCTTCGCTTGGCTTTCCTCTTTCCGCTCCTTGAACAGCCCAAACTCATTCCTGCCCCAGGGTGTTTGCACCTGCCTAGAATGCCCCTCCCCTAGCTCTCTGCCTGGGGACTTGTCGTTCTAGTCCAGCTCCCCTCTCAGAGGCCTTGCTCGCCAGCACGCCCCCCTCCCCTCTTCCTTTACCCACCTGTGATTTCTGCTCGGACCCCGCTCATCCCACCAGCCTGCCGCCCCTGGCGAGCGGGAGCCGTCCGCCCCCTCCCAGCTTACCCGTGGCCCTTAGAGCCTGGGGCGGCCGGTCCTCCATGCACACGCGTGAAGCGGGTGAGGTCTGTGCTGACTCGGGGACTTCACGCGCACACCCCACGTGTTGCGAGGTTGTAACTGTGAAGCCGGTGTCTTATCCTGAACATCATTTCTGTTTATCTTTTCCAGTTAAGTGTCCTGAAGGAAGCTATTTTCAGGACGAGCAATGTGTTCCCTGTCCCGCTGGATTCTACCAAGAGTGGGCGGGGAGCTTGACCTGCACCCCGTGTCCTGTGGGCAGAACGACCGCGTCCGAGGGAGCTTTCAGTCAGACTCACTGTAAGTTCTGCAGGGCCCTGCTTTCACACAGAAACCCTGCAGTGCAATGGGGACACAGCGGCTTCTCAACCTTGGCACTGTTGGAATTTGCGACAGATAATTCTTCATTTTGGGAGCTGCCCCATGCATGGCAGGATGTTTATTTAGCAGCATCACTGGCCCTAACCTGTTACATGACAGTAGCATCCCCCCCCTCCCCAAGTTGTGACAACCAAACATGCCTCTAGACATTGCCAGGAGTGTCTTGGATGGGGAACAAAATCGCGCACCATCGACAGCCATCAGGTACACAGCACAGTAACCAAAGGGGCCACCGACTTTGAGTGCCTGTTTCCTGGCAGGATCTAGGCCGGGCATTTTACCTGTGTTGTCTCATTTAATCCCCCAATTCCCCTTCTAGGTCAACATTATGAGCTGAACTTTTACAGATAAAAAGGTTAAGACTCAGAGAAGTAATTTAGCCAAAGTCACTCAACGAGTAAGCGGCAGGCCTGACCTTTGATCTTGGTTCTGCCTGATTCTGAAACTTCTGACCTTCGTGTCAACCTTATCAGATTGAGGAGTGGAAGATATTTTCCACCTACAGGCATCGCCGCAGTGTAGTTCATGTGCCCTCTGCCCTGTACTTTGGTCAGGACTGTGTGTACGCGCGGCCTTCCCATACGTCACATGATTTCACTCGGCCTACTTACTTACCAGTCACCTGGGTACTGCTGGGTTTTTCCCGGCGGGGACTCATAGCCTGAAATTGTGTCAATAAGAGGCAAACAGTTACTGCTTAAAATCTGAATAGTGATAGAATTTAAAAATAACTAATTGAAAGAGATCAAGTCACCTCTCTGATCAAGGCAGTCTCCTTGGACAGGAGAGCAGTGGAAATGGGGTGGTAATTCCAAGAAAGCATGAGGACTTCTGTAGACCAGGGGTCTGACATTCCTTCTGAAGGAGAAAGTCTTCTTGGAGGGCAGTGTCCCTGACACCTGGGTGTCAACCTCAGCGTGCACCCGTTGACTGTGTCACTGTGGTTCGGGGCCACTTGAGTGCTGTCACACTGCTAGAGGAATGCTCTCTTACAAGGGGATCAGCATCATGTACTGACCCTTGTTAATGGAGGAGATGCTACCAAAATTGCAGGGGACAGAAGGCGAGGCTGAGACTGGGCACCAGCCAGACCCATTTGCATCCCTGCTCTCCCTCCTGCTGGCACTGGCATGTAGGCCAAGTCACTTTCCTCTTCTAAAGGTCAACTTCCTCATCTATTAAATGAAGCCAATGACACCTCATTCATAGGGTGGTTATAAAACATGTCTTAGTTCAGGATGCTATCTATAAATTACCATAGACTGGTGGCTTCAACAGATGCTTTTTGCTCATGGTTTTGGAGGCTGGATGTCCCAGATCAGAGTGGTTAAGTGATCAGTATGGCTAGGTTCATGGTGAAGGCCGTTTCCTGGTTATGTCCTCATATGACCTTTCCCAGGTGTGTGTGCATGCAGAGTGAGAGATCTCCTGTGTCTCCCCCTGTCCATAAGGACACTAATTCCATCATGGGGACTCCACCTTTATGATCTCACTTAAACCTAATCACCTCCCAAAGGTTCCATCTCCAAACACCATCACACTGGGGTCAATGGCTTCAACATATGAACTTGGGGAGACACATTCAATCCATAGCAAAGTGGAATCCATTGCAATGTTTAAGATGAACAATAAGTGTTCATTATTGTTCCCACTTGGGGGTCAGTTTTGGTAGAATTTCCAGTCGGGGAGGGCTGTTATATCATTACACTCTCCCAGACACCTCGAGTAACAGATTTCAGCCATGGGTCCCCAGGGCCAGGGTGGAGTCAATGCTAAGGGTCTGTTTATACCTAAGAACTTCTCTAGGACTCATTAACTCCACTATTCTGCCTCTTGTATTACCTGGTCTGTGTTCTTAGATGGAATCATATTAAAGAGAAGCACAGGGCAGGAGAGTCTTCCAAGTTTCCAATGATGCCAAGAGATTCTATTTCTTTGGTTTCCTTTTGTGTTAAGATAGTTTTTAGAATTTCAGTTTCTCTACATAGTTAAGGTCTGTATTATAGTTCTCACTTACAAACACTTCTCTCCTCTGTTTCCTAAGCTTGCATGTCCATTGGACAACTTTTGAGGTTCTGTTGATAACCGAATAGCTATTGATTGATTGATTGATTGATAAATTAATTCATGTATAGCATGTATGGCATATAATGCATGTTATTTAAAAAGTAGCCTTTGTATCTGCTTATAAAACAAGTTGTTATAAAATCAATGGTTAGTCATATAACTGAGAGTCTTAAGATATAGAGAATTAGATGTTATCAAGTTTCTGGGCTGCCATAAAAGAATAGGTTTCACCTACTCCCAGTTCTGGAGAACCAGTCAAGGTCTTCCCTTCTGAACATTCACACATGTTCTTTGTGCCCAGTATATACTGGAAAATCAAAAGGAGTAAAGATAAATTCCCTGTCCTCAAGATGTTTCAAGTCTGATAGGAAAAGAAAACATTTATGTATTTAAATGTAATGTAGTGTAATTAATAATATAATGGTCGTGTACATTAGAAGCTGTTAGGGCAGCTAGCATTGGTTGTGAAGGATGAGTGGAGATTAGTCAGGAAGCCAGATGGAGAAGGGATGCCTGGGCAGAGGAATAGCTTGAGCACAGGAACAAAGGGATTCACCTACGGATTCAGCTGGTATTTATTGATCGGTGCTCTTTTTGGGTTCTTGGACCTAATTCCAATGTGTGAGTTGGAGGGGGTTTCTCAGCACAAACGATAAACAACTCTCAGATACCAGCAGAGTGTCTGAGAATTCAATTCATTTCTGACACTATCTACCTGGAGATAGCCTCACATTCCACAGGCTGAGAGCTCAGTCCTCCAAGACCGCCCTCTACTCCCTTCAGATGCCAGTGACAAACACAGGCTGTTATCTGTGCTTCTGACCTACTGGCTAGAAATCAGAGGTTCCCATGACTTCTTGGGTTGGATTAATTTATGAGAGAGGCTCACAGAACTCAGAGAAACATTTTCCTTACTAGATGACCAGTTTATTATAAAAGGATGTAACTCAAGAACAATCAGGTGGAAGAGATGCACAGGGCAAGGTAGGGAAGGAGCTTCCATGCCCTCTCCAGGTGTGGCACTCTCCCCACATTTCCGTGTGCTCACCACCCCAGAAGCTCTTTGTCTTCTTGGGTTTTTATGGAGGCTTCATTACGAGGCATGATTGATTAAGTCATTGTTGATTGGCCTTGATTCAACCTCTAGCCGCTCTCTGCTCCCAGAGTCTAGGGGTGGGCCTGAAAGTTCCAACCCTGCAATCACCTGGTTGGTCCCACAGGCAACCAGCCCTCATTCATAAGTTCTGTCCAAGAGCCACCTCATTGACAATAAAAAACACCATTATGGCTTTCATCACTTAGGAAATTCCCAAAGTTTTAAGAGCTCTGTGCCAGAGATGGGGACAACAGTGGCATATTTATTTTTTATTAGAAATCACAACGTCACAATGGGGGAGCTGGTATTATATGTCTGACACTGGGATACAGCAGGGAGTAAAACCAGGTCAGGTCCCTGTCCTCTTGGGGCTTCCACTGAGTGGGAGGCAGACAGTGGCCATTTGTTCACCTGGACAAATGGGAGTAATAACTGTGCTCCCTGCTGTGAGGAGAGGTGTGGGCTGATAGGATAGTGTGAAACAGTGGGACATCAGGGGACTGGGGGCTGGGAGGGCGGGTTACCCATGGAGGGGGATGCTGATTGAATTGAAAGCTGATGAGCTATGAGGAGTAGACTCATTGAAGACTGGGGAGAGCCGTGCACCAGAAGAAGAACCAGCAGAGCAGGGCCTGTGGTTGAGCAAATGGTATCAGAGAAGGTGGTAGGTTTATGGCCTGCAATGAATGGAGGGGATTGAGGAAGCCCAGGGCACAGTGCAGAATTAGAGGGGTGCGGCCAGGTCTCAGGGGCCTTATTGGCTCCATAAGGAGCCTGGACATCATACTGGAGTCACTAAGGAGTTTTAAGCTCAGCCATGGGACTTGGATATCTGATCAGTGATTAAGAGCCGGGAGTCTGGAGGGGAAGGGATCCCAGACATATGCCTTCGATCGTTGATCACTGTGTCTATCTCTTGGTTCCAGGTGTCACTGACTGCCAGAGGAATGAGGCAGGCCTACAGTGTGACCAGGATGGCCAGTACCGAGCCAGCCAGATGGACAGGGACAGTGGGAGGGCCTTCTGTGTGGACAACGAGGGGCGGAGGCTGCCATGGTCCGAAATGGAGGCCCCACTCACGGACTCCCAGTGTCTGAGTATGTACACGCCTTAAACCTGCATGTTGCTGAGGCGAGGGTGGTGCTCTCCAGGGCTTTCTAGAAAGGGAGAGGCATGTGAGATGCATTTGTCTCCAACATTTTATTTTGAAAATTTTTAATCTATGTAGAAGTTGAAAGAATGCTAGTAAGATAAACAACTAGACATTACCTAGATCCAACAATTGTTAGTATTTTGTTCTTTTCTCACTCTCTTTTACTTTTAATCATTGGAAAGTAAGTTTTAGACATCATGAAACCTTACCCCTAAATACTGGTGACTGTGTGAGAAATGAATTTTAAACATTAATCTGCTGAGGCTTTCTTTTTTCGTGGACCGCTTGCCTCCAAAAGCTGGTCAGCATTTCTCCCTCAGTGGGATGTTGTGGAAAGACTTGAGGGCCAGGCCTGGTTCCATAATTTACTTGCTGGGTAACCCAGAGCAAGTTGCTCAACTTCTCTGACCTTCAGTCCCCACAGTAGCCTCCTGCCTGCCTCCTGAGACTCTGTGCAGGTCACTGCACAGCACCCTGTGCCAGGCACAGGTCTTCACTGAGATAAGAGGTGGGAAAGCCCTGGTGAGCTGACAAACGTCCTATGATACTCGGTGTGATGGGAGTTGGGTCAGAACTAGTTTAACCCCAGTGGTGCCCTTTGCTGCTGTGTAGTCTTGGGCAAGTCGCTTGCCTGCAACAGTTTTCTCACCTGTAACATGGGGATATTAAGGCTACCTTGTCGGGGAGTTGAGTGCGTCAGCAGTGACATGCTTGACAGAGGTAATTCATGCCTCAAAATGATTAGCAGACTCAGTGCCAGTTGCCCTGTTCCCTCATCTGTTAACCAGGGAGCAGGCCGAGACAACTGAAGGTCCTTTAATCCCACCCTCTCCTGTCTCCACTGCCCTGCTCCACCTTCTGCCACGTGAAGGCCGTGGCTTACCTTTGCACACCTGAGCACAAGCCGTGGCTGCCAGAGTCCCCGATTCATCTGCCTCCGCATTAACCACACCCACATGTGCACACTGACGCGCACACACATACACAACACGCACCAACACGCACGCTTGTGCCCAGAGCCAGCCTGCTCTCTGGGGAAATTGCTGCAGCTGATAACCTAAAATGGCTGGGAAACTCAAGTGAGAAAGCTTCATTTTCTAATGCTCATAACAGCCATGTCCCATTTGCAGCAAAAGCACCACCGAATCCCAAGGATCTGTGTGTATGTGTCCCGTGGGGAAATTGCAAACCCAATGGAAGTCATTATTTTTTCCATGCTTCCCCTTCACCTCCCAGTCAGTGGATTGCAATGCACACTTTGTAGAGCATCTCCTGTTCTGCCCTGTGTTCTTCTGGGGCAGAAAGGACGGCTTGATAAGTGGCACCAGCAGCATCTATGAGGAACAGCTTGGCCTCGCCAACTTCAATGCCACTTCCCTGAGGAATGGCTTAGGAAAAGCCTCCAGGCTGCTCCTCCGCATCTTGGGCTTAGTATGCAAAGCTCGGAGCTTAAGCCTCCGTCTGGATCTGCGGGAGGATTTCTGGGTTAGGGAGCTGGGCCCTGGCTGGGAGGTCCCCTTGCTTTTCCTCAGAATCCCCTTCACTTGCCTTTGAGGGGAACTTTCTCTTTGGGAGTGAAATCACGGTCTCATTTTTGAGGCTCTTGTCCTCTTGAAGAAGCAAAGGGCATAGAATTTAGTTATATCACTTCCCAAACAGACACCTACCTGAGAGGGAAATGCCCCCTTCCTGCCCCACCCCC